GCTGTCATCTCTGATCTGTTAGAGATTCATCATACAAGCACCTTTTTTTACCTATCTTGGTCTTCCTATTTCCCCCAGTCGCCTGAATTTTTCTCACTTCCAACCCCTATTGAGCAGAATTTCTGCTCTACTTGTGGGTTGGAAAGTTAAGTTTCTTGCTTTTGCAGGGAGATTGCAATTTTTGAAATTTACAATTGCCAATACTATTGCTTACTGGATTAGAGGGGCGATTTTGCCTAAAGCCTGTTGTGCTTTCATCTCTAAGCTTTGCTCTAAATTTTTGCTGCATGGGAATATTGAAGATAAGAAATTACATTTTATTGCTTGGGGGTGTATTACCAAACCAAAAATTTATGGTGGTCTTTGTATTCTTTCCTTTGATTCTCTGTATTTCTGGGTCGCTTGTTCTTTCATTTGGAGATTTTTTCAACTAAATTCCCTTGTGGGCTCCTGGTTTAGAGCCAAATATGAATCCCCTTGGAAACCTCCACATCCGACTGCATCTAAATTTTGGAAATATATTGGTTCTTTGGCTCTTAAGATTAAACCGATTATTGTGCAAACTGTTGGCCAACATTGCAATTTTTCCTTCAACTGGGATCCTTGGGTGGATGGGAATAGGCTTGCTGATTTATGTTTTGATGCCAGATTTAATCATAAAAATGTTGGGGATTTCATTGTTGATGGTCATTGGGCATTACCGGAGTTCTCTCCTCTGCAATTATGTGCGGCTGTTTCTAATATTGCCATTTTGGAGCAACCTGCCTTGGCATGGGATGGCTCCTTTAATCCAAAATTTAAGCAATTCACTGATCTTTATTACTCTAATTTGGAGGAGGTTCCATGGCATAAGTTCATTTGGTTTAAAAAGGCTTCTCTCAAATTTGCTTGTTTTGTCTGGATGGCTCTGTTGGAAAAATTGAAATGTGCAGATAGACTTATTCGGTTTGGGATTCAAATTTCAGCTGTTTGCTCTTTGTGTAACATTTTTCGTGAATCACACCACTATATCCTTTTTTAGTGTGATTTCTCTTTTTCGGTTCTTTGTGCGGTGAATCCGATTTTTGAGAGGTTCTTGTTTAGGCCTAATCTCTTTCAGGTTTTTGAATTTCACGATTCTGAGTTTGTTGTTGCAAATTTAGAGAAAAACTTTTGTTTCTCTATCATCGCTTTTACTGTCTATCATCTCTAGAAGGAGAGAAACAACAGACGTTTCTCTAATTCTTTTTTAAACCCTATGGCTGTGGTGAATTTGATAAAAGTGACTATTCATGGCAAAGTTAATAGCTGGAAGAATGTGGAATTGCTTAAAGTTAAAATTTCTGAGTTATTTTGATGCCAGTCTTGTGTTGCTGGTTGTTGCTGCTGGGTTGGTGAATTTGTCAGGGACGATGATGAACTGGGAGCATCCACTGGCTGGTTGTTTTGCTAGTTGTTCCCTGGATGGCCCATGTGCAAATTTTGTTCTCTCGACTGCTCCTGTGACAACTGGGAAAGTTTTGCTTCAATGTTCTTGCTGGGCGGTATT